GACAGACTGTATGTGACAGTCTGTGTGTGCTGTCCCCTACCAGTCACACACGTGTGACAGACAGCCCGTCACAGTCTGTCACATTCAAGGTATTAGGCAGCACACAAACTTTGCCCCCCACCAGATCCACCCCATCACCCCACTCCCCCCCAACACCCCTTCCCCCCCCCCCACCGACTGTCTGTCACAGTTTGTATGTGCTGCCCCCCACCAGCCAGACACATGTGACGGACTGTCCGTCACAGTCTTCAGCCAGACATATGTGACAGACTGTCCGTCACAGTCTGTCACAGTCAGTCTTTTGGGCAGCCCACACAGACTGTGACAGACAGTCTGTTGGTTCGTTGCAACACACAAACTGGTGGGGGCCAGCCTCTGTTACAGTTTGTGTTTGCTGCCCACCAGATTGTAATAAACTGTCTGTCACCATTTGACACAGGCTGTGACAGACTCTGTCACACAGTAACACAAACACCTACGCTTGATGAAATAACACACACACACATATATGAACTTGCTGCACTCACACACACACACACGCACTAACACACATACATACAGTCGTTGCACTCACACAGTCACACACTCACACACCCATAGTCTGTCACTATCTGTCACAGTCTGGTGGGCAGTCTGTCACACACTCACACACTCACTCTCTCGCACACTCACACACTCTGTCACACATTTGGACACTCAAACACTCACACACTCGCACTCACACACTCACACACTCACAGTATCACACTATCACACTCACAGTCTGTCACAGTCTCACACTCACACACTCTCACACTCACAGTCACACACTCACACAGTCACACAGTCACACTCACAGTCTGTCACACACTCTGTCACACAATCAGACACTCACACACTCACACACTCACACTATCACACACACAGTCTGTCACAGTCTCACAGTCACACACTCACACAGTCACACACTCACACTCACAGTCTGTCACTGTCTGTCACACACACACATTCAAAGTCTGGCACACACTCACACACTCACAATCACAGTCTGTCACTGTCTCTCACACACTCACATTCACAGTCTGGAACACACTCACACACTCACACT